GTTTTAATTGCAACTAACTGAATGAATTTAGTGGAAAATCGCACACAGTACTTCGATTGTCTAACTCTCTGGATGTGAGGCTTTGGGAACAGTTTGTTATTATAAAAGAACAGCGCTAACAAGAAATCAGCCAACATATAATTGCTAGGCTGAGGGGCAGTTTGGAGAAAGCTGATATTTATTTATGAATTATTAAATAAAAAGCACATAATATATGGATCATCTCTCACTGCCTCCACACTTCATGCATTACTCATCTTCCTAGACTTCGTGTTCTCTAGGACATTGCTTCTTATAACCAGTCCAGGAGTCAAAACCACCCACATCCAGGAAAGGAGATGCCTGTGCATTTGTTATGATGGCTGTTTTGGTTATGACTAGGGACTCATCGAAAAGCATGAAGCTTCAGTTCTAAGAAAGGACTCTTGGCCAGACTTTTAAAGCTGTTTCAGGTTCCTAAAATACAGATGAGCACGTAGGCCTCTCTTCAGGTATCCTGAATTCCACCCAGTATTTTCCTACTGACTAGGTAAGTAAATACCTTCATGGTGCCCACAGTGCCTTTGGCCACCAAATATCTACTCTAGCTCTTCTGGCACGGAGGGTGGCACCGCAAGTGGAAAGCTGCAGTTCTTTTCTTGAGCGTAGATTTGCGAGTGTTTTTCTAGCTATCTAGAGATAACTATTATCATTGGCCCAGCTCTTCACAGCTGTATACAGTTTCCTTTCATTTCCAGGCAAGAACCAATAAACTGAAGTTATTAGGGATTATCCCTTTGAGGCCTTCAGGCTGCGTGGGAAGAGCATTTTGCCCTCCACCTTTCCCTTGGCAGCTGAAGAGGACACACACAACCCAGCTTCCTTGCCTTGCTGCCCTTCTCGAAGGGTAGTAGTTGGTGTTGGTGGATGTGTTCGCTCGCAGTCATATATGTAGCAACCAGCAGTCCCTACTTCAGAGTACCCAGCTGCAGGGCAGGTTCACTGACACAGTTCCTCAACGGCTGCGTAACAAGGGGATGGGTAACGTCCCGCCATAGCAAGCGAGGTACGTATCCTTCAGACTGGAAGGTCGCTGGTGGTCAGCAGAGGGTGGCATGGGGATGGAAAAGTGTGCCATTAGCTGGGTACTGCGGACACGTGTCTGGGCTACACTGTGCTGCCATATACCAGCAGTGCCAGATGACGTTCGTTCTGTACACACAAACAACACTATTAAACCATTTAAGCAGTGCTTATGCAACTTTAAAATGGTAGAAGCTTAATTTTATGAGTTCATCTGCAGGCCTGTTAGCCTTCTATGTCCACGTCAGCAAGCAGACTCTTTCCTCATTTACTCCCGTAAAACTCTGTAGATTTACAGTAAGGTCTAGTTGAAATGATGTGAAGATTATAACACTAATACTAGGTATCAGTCTAGCTGCTGTGAGGCCGTGTTATGTGGAAGGGGCTTGAGAGGTGAAATCAGGCAGAATTTGGCCTTGCATAGCTCTTACCTAGGGTTGGTCAATATCTCTGTAAATTTTTTTCGAGGTCAGAAAATATTTTTCCCCAAATAACCTATTTTTCCTCAAGAGAACATAGCTGTATTTTTGAAAGGTCTTGGCTTTTATGGTAAATCTGGTCCATATAGTTTCCCCCTCTGTATGAATGTTGCCAGTATAATTACTGGCACTCATAGTGTAAAACAGTTTTCTTATATGAACTTTCAACAGTGGTTTTCAGTAATTTAGAAAATATTGGAGCCCCTTGCAACAACAGAAAAAAAATCAAGGCAAACAAAACGGCTTTGAAAATAGTGAAACGTTCAGGAAAATAAATCTTCACTTTTAGCCCTGTTCTATTATTCTCTCTCTGATACCAAAATCTATACCAAGTATAAGTGATTTCAGCCAGTTCAAGATAAGATAGGTAGAGCTTCCACAGCAAAAGCCTTGCTCTTTCCTACTCGGGGGATAAATCTCAGCAGCACTACCGTGCAATCGCAGGCTGGGTTTCTGGGAAAGCCTGTATTCAGCGCTTGCACACGCTGGAAAAACTGCGAGAAGTAGCTCACGCTCATGTCGCCTTTTTTCCAGCAAAACGTGGGAAGGTTGCTGGATTAAAATCTCCCAAGTCATGAAATTTGTTGTATTGGAGGCACACAGAATATAGGGCCTTTCAAAACCCTGCGAGTTCATAGTACTTAAAGATAACAACACGGTATTGCCAAGAAATGTGGTCTTGCTGAGGCCCCTGACTAACTTTATCAAAGGAAGGAATCTTATTTTTGCCAGCTACAGATAGAAGATCTCAGAACAGCCTAAAGTTAAAGATAGATGTAGCGTCTGGTTCAGATCATGATACGAAGAAGGATTCAGGTTAATTGGTATTTATTCTTAGTTTATAGTTCTTCCTTTTGGCTTGAGATGACAGGCAGAAGTTGGAGCTCCACAAAACTGCTGCTGGGAGGAGAAATTAATGACAGTGACCGGTCTCCTTGGTGAAACCTTACTTAGCTGCAGGCACACAAAGCCCGGCGTGGTCGTTGCTGCCGGGCTCGGCCAGCCGCCACGGGCCCTGGGGCCGGGGCCGGCCCCGGCCTCCGGCCTCGGCGCGGGCCCCAAACCGTCCCTGTCTGTGTCCCTGCGGGGCTGACGCGCGGTGGCTTTGGAGAACGTAACCCGTCGCTCTCAGCCCTCTCCCTGGCTGCTTCTCCCTGCAGAAAGTTGCATGGTGTTAAGAAATAGATAAGAAATAAATAACATTTCCCTTCGAAACCTTTCTCTGCTCGCTGCCCGTGGCTCAGCCCCACGAGACGCCTGGCTTTCTGTTCGTGTCCGGAGAAATTGGGGTTTGGATATTTGTGTCAACGGGTAACCCATCGCGTATCTCGCTAGGCCGTCCCTTGGAGCGGTTCTCTCTTTCGCTGGCGGGGCTGCGCCCGCTTTCGGGCGGGGGGGTGGGCGTCGGGGGGG